AATATCTGAAAATATTTGTTTCCTTACAACGTAAGTGATAGAAAGTTTTGTCATCCTTTTTGAGTTTTTACTGATCTGAAAAGTAGGAAATAGCATCCGAATACAACTTTAAATTGAATTTTCCTAATTATGAGTGGATTTAAACATTTCCATGTTTGACCATTTATCGAGCTTTAATAATTTGTTCATGTCATTTGTACATTTTTTGGAATAAACTATAAATATGTAGTTTCTGAGTACTGTGAGTTCTAGGGAATCATTGAAGTTTTCATTGCAGTTATTTTCCTGTTTACTTCAGAATTTATTTGTTTCTTATCATTTGTCTCTCTTTATTTGGGTGAGAGATTGTATTCATTCTTTTCCTTTGGATGTATTTAAAATAACTGTGTTAAAAGCCTTGGTCTAGTAGGTGCAACCTCTGTGCTTTCTGGAACAGTTTCTTTTCCTTTTTCTTTTTAGTGATTCTGGGGCTTAAATATAGGGCCTTGTGCATGCTGGGCAAGTGCTTTTCCACTGGTTTCTTGACAGTTCCTGTTGACTGCTTTATTTACTGTGTATTGGCCAGACTTTATTTCTTTTTGTTTTGTTTTGTTGTTTTTGTTTTGTTGTGTGTGTGTGTGTGTATGTGTGTGAAAACTGGATATTTTAAATAATATAACACGGCAACCCTGGAAATCAGATTCTCCTCCTTGCTTCTGTCCTCCACAGAGTTTATTGCTTGTTTTGTGAATTTTCCAAACTAATCCCATAAAGTCTGTGTTCTGTCGTGTGTGGCTACTTAGTCTTTGCTTAGTTATTTTAGTGGTCAGCTAATATTTAGATTTCCTTAACTGCTTTTGCCAAGGGGCTTTGTGTGCATGCTTGCAAATCCTTTAAAGACTCAAATAAGCCGGTGGTAACTCTGCTTAGTGTTCACCACCTGATTGCACAGAGCCTCCAAGTCATGAGCATGCATATAGCCCTATGCATGCCTGTGGCCGTATAGATTCCAGGACCATATTAAAACTTTCCAAACCCTCTATGGACATTTCATTTCCCCCAGGTTTTCCTTTTAAGCTCTTTGGTTACTCTATTGTTTTCCTCAACTACCTCTGGTACCTGGAAATTTTTTGCCACATGTCCCAAGGAAAAAGTTTTCCTACTGAGAGAACTCTTCAGTCAGTGTCAAAGGCAGCTTGTAAGTAGTTCATTCAGGGATCCACCAGATGGGTAAAATAAAACACGTGTCCTCAGCAGAGGTTCTGAAGGCACTCCGGCCTCATTTTGTGCTGTTTGGTGGCTACCTCCTTGCTAGCTTCCACCGTGATTACCTGCTGTGTAGTTTGCAAAGCTACTGTGTGGAGCTACAGAGGGAAGAATGGGAATGCAGTAAAGTGACATGAATCTTGCTGTTCTTAACAAGCTCTCTTAAATAAACCCTCCCTAGGTTGCTGCAAGGATTTGATTAATTTCCAGAGTTTTAAAAATTTTAACTCTCACAATTCTGGCCAGTTTTCTCCTTTGCTGAGGAGAGAATTTTCAGCAATCTTTACCATCTTGGTGGACCCAGTGCAATTTTTAAATATAAGTTGGATCATGTTAATTTTCAGCTTCAAATGGTTTCCAATGCTCTTAGAATAAAATCCAAACTCCTTGATCCATGAGTATAAAACTAATAGAATTCTGTTTGCATTTCCAGAATTATCCCTAGTCCACTTCCCCTCTTTCAATATACTTCAACTTTTATAGAGCTCCTTCATGTTCTTAGGACTGAAGTGTCCCCCAACCCAGTGGCCTATCATACATAGAGAATTGGCTTATGGCCATTTTGCTAGTCCTCCCCCACCCCCCAGTTGGCCTTATTTTCACCCAAGATTCAACTACATCAGAGAAGAGCCCATTCCTCTTTCAGCCATCATAGGAAAACTAAATTTTATCTCAGAGGCTCTCTGCTCTGAGAGGTCTAAACCCTGTCCATCAGGATGCAGGGTTCTGATTAGCCAGACCTGGGCACCCGTGCCAGGTCTCTTGCCAAGGCAAATGGAAGCACCATATTGCAAGTACTGCAGGGAATGATGGCCAAGAGAAAGACATGCACATATGGTAGCCAAAGAAGGGTGAATCAATACTGGGCAGAAACTGCCACCTCCTGCTTCCACTACATTACCTTTGGGTTTGGACTCAAGCTATTTCCTCTGATGAGGGTGCTAAGCACAACTGGCACATGCTCATGTTTTCTCCTCAGCTAGACCTATTCTGATCATTCAATCTAAGTAGTTCTCTTTCCTCATTCTTTATTACAATCCCCTTTTTAAACCTTCATAAACTTGAGATCAGACATCAGATTAATTCCCTCAACAAATATTTATTTAGCACCAACTAGTGCCAGATAGTGTACTAGACTTTGTTTATGGTCTTTCGTAACACTCTGTTTTATTAACCACTGCATGATTCAAAGCCTAGAGCATAAACAAGTATTCACTCAATGAATGAATGAATGAAATGGCCCTGATAGTCAAATTGATTCAGTAAGATTTTGAAATATTTAAAATAGAAATAGAAATCTATTATTCTGCTAAACCAGTGTATCTCAATCTTTCCTCATCATCTTACCACTTAACTTATTTCAGAAACACTTGGGGACCAGGAGAATCTTAATCACCTAAAATCAAACATAAAAACTACATGATACACAAAGAGGAACTGTGAGATGAATGGAAAGTGAGACAATCGCACCACAGAAATTGTTGTAGCATATGGACAAACTTTAAACATGTAAGATTTATTAACAAAGAAATAAAATTTCTACAAAATAATAAGCAATATTACATTTTAATTTGTGAAATGTTAATTCAAATACCATTCCTGACTTTCTCTGACCATTAGATTCTGGCAATTATGCAGCCTCACACACTTGTCCTATCATAGGACTCACTGCAGCACATTTCAGCTACCTGGGGACATTCGGGGGACTCATCAACTCCCATGGCTTCAATGACTACCTATGCTCAGGTGACTCATCAGTCACAGCAGCAGCCCACACCTCTATTCCAAACTTTAAATTCATATCTCGACTTTCCTACTTCTCTTATTTTTTTTTCCAAAGGCACTTAAAGTTCACCTTGCATAATATTGAACTCATATACTTTTCTTCAGTCCTGGTTCTAACTCAGCAGTGTCTATCACAACTATAGCACCACTGTTTGACCAAGAAAACCTACGCATCAGAATTGATCCCTTTTTGTTCCTTGACGCCATTTCCAAAGTATCAATGTACAAGCAACCACTATTTTACCTCTTAAATAGTTCTCGAATCTCCTACCACTATCATTTCTCCACTTATATCTATGATAACCTTGGTCTATCCATACCCCTTCACTCACCTAATTCATCTATTCTGTACACTACTGTTGGATTACTCACATAAAAATGCAAAATACATGTGACAGAATCCCTACAATCTTTTTTAACCAATAAATTAAGGATTATTAGGCTAAGCAACAATCAAGGGGACATTATTTGAAATTTTCCTCTTCATCAAAATATTAAGTCAGAGGAAAGATCACTTTTTAGGTGGATTTATAGAGACTAAAGTTATTATCAATGATTTGTAAGAAGCAAGCCAATGGTTTCATCCCCAGTTCCTCAATATGGCCATTAAAAACCAACATAACTCCAATTGCATTTTCTAACCCCCAGCACAGCACTTTACTAGAATAGGTGAGTAAAGTTCTTGATTCTCCATCCACAGCTCCTTGTTTGTTGATTTTGCATTACCTTATTCCTGCTCACTTGGGCTACCACAACACTGATTTCACCTGGCAGGGGCAGCAGTTTATTAAAGCTGTCTCTGTGTCACAGTGGAGTCCTCTGGAGCCTTGATGACCTAGAATGTGACCCTGACACAACACACTTACAACCTACAGCTGATTGCTCCTGGAGAACAGTGAGTGACAATGCCCTAGTTATCTTAGAAAGAAATGAGTTAGAGATCCCTCTTCAAGAAACAAAAGAACCAACATTCTCTGGTAAGTCCCAGAAAGAAGTGGGGGTTCCATTACCAATGACATGACAAAGTATTCTTCTCAACAGAAGGCAAGTTGCTGCACAAAATAAAAACAGCGAATCTTTTTGGATTTTGGAATCGGGTTGAGATCACATTTGTGTGACTTCTGACCAATTAACAGGTAACACAGAAATGTGCCCAGAGCAGAAAAAAGGAGGTTTTCTTGATGGTCAAGTTTGCAATAAAAGCTGCCCTACTAGCTGGCCTGATGGCTATGTCAAACAAACAGTGTCCAAGATGCATGCAAGAGACCAACATGGTATGAGGAAGCTCTGCAAAACTATGAACATCAAAGTTACCAGAGGAGACCCTGTGGCACTTAACCATATCACTATCAGTAACTCTTCTTTCTGTGCAAATACCTCCTGGGCTGTTTCTAAAACCAAATATCTGATTATGAACTCAGGTAAGTATGTACCCTGGGCTATCCTGCTTGAAGCAGATGTTATCAGTTCCATAATCTACATTAACACTGGGTTTCCTCTAGAACACTCTAAGAAGTATGATATAAAACAACAAGAGCAAGAACAAGAATATAGGTGGCATTATATCCACACCTATAATCACAGCTACTTTGCAGGTAAAGGCAGAAGGATAGCAAGTTCAAGGCCAATCTGGGCAACATAGTTGTCAGACTCTGTCTCAATGTGAATTTTTTAAATAAAAGAGTGGAGGATAGAGTTCAGTGGTAGAGTGCTTGGTTACCATCATGAGACCCTGGGTTCAATTCCCAGTATTAGAAAAACACAGATACACACATACACACACACACACACACACACACACACACACACACAAAAGCTTTTCAGTCTACAAGAGTTAAAGCACTGTTTAAATGGGTTGATCAGTTGGAGCATAGACGCATAACCTTATATAGTCATAAGAATTACTTAATAAAATCTTGTTCAGAGAAGATGAATACATGAACCTATTCTGAAGTAAATTTGACCAGACATTAGGCTCCATTAATGTTTATTTTAAAGATCACTTTTTATTGTAACAAATATAAAGTCATCAATGTCTTACAAATTGTCAAAAATGATTTAAGTACAAAAAAAATACATTAGTAAAACCAAAGTTATATTGTATTATTTGGTACATACTTAATACTGTCAACATGCACACCATATGCCAGAAAAGCTCATGCATTATTGGAAGAAAAGAGAAATAAGATGCAACTGCTATAACTGTGTGATTATAAATTCATTGCTTCAGTCAGTTTTCTTTCTTCAGGGATACCATTTACCTGCAAGGTGAAAGAATGAATATGAGCATGAGTCAGGCAAGATACACTTTTAGATTCGGGGCAGTGTGAATTATGGCAAGAAGAAATTTTCTATCTTCTTAACATAATTTAAAGTAATTACATTGCATTATTTCTTTGCATTTCATTAAAGAACAATTTCTAAATTAGCCGTCCCCTCCCCTTCTTGGACCAAAGCTGGAATGTTCTGTATTTCTCAAAAGGTATGGCCTGAAAATTCCTCCCACAATAAACAAACAGAAAGAGGTTGCCTGCGGGATGTATGACTGTACCTTTTAATCGTGGCTTTTAAAAAATACCATGTGGGTTGGAAGGGCAGAGAAAATGAGAAAACCTGAAGGGACATCAAACCTAATGGCCTGGGCCTGGGCCAGAAGGCAGTGCTATTGTCAGCTTCTAACTGCTCTATTATCCCAGTTAGTGCTCAAGTCCAGGAATACAACGCCAGCAGCTACTTCACTTCTTAAACTTTAGATGAGAATTTAAAAGAAAACAACAAATTACATGAAACAAGCTTCAAAATCTACTCTCCCCTGATAACTTCCATTTGGTAGCTACAAATAAAATTACTTGCTATCCAAGAGACAAATTTGTGCCTAAATTACCTTCATGGCATAGTGCTTAGAGGTACTTGGAAAAAGACAGTTATTGTTTCATGATAATCATGTACAAATGTAGCTGCCTCATTATGGTAGGATAACCAGGATGAAAGAACAGAAAGACTCAACTGCACTCATGAAAGTACATAAACAGCACCGCATCCATGCATTTGCAGACAGAACAGAATAATTTAGAAATAGAAAAACAATTTTTTTTTCATTTTTATAATGAACAGAATGGGAACAAGGAATGTAACTGTGCCCACTTAGCTCCCCTCTCCAGGAGGCCTGACTCCACTTAGTTACCAATGTGTCAGAGGTAGAAACACAACAATTTTTCATAATTATGCAAAATGCTAAGGTGGCCTCTCTTCTGAAGCACTTAGACACTGGAGTCTCATTGATAAAACAAGAAAACAACCAAGAGGAGACAGTGCATTTCAGTCAATAACATGATCCAAATTGCAGAAAAACATAAGGAAACAAGAAGGTAATTGGTCATGGTGCTAACTAAAAATGAGATCCATGCTTTCTTCACTCAAGCAAAATGCCTGCTCCCCAAAACCTGCTTTAGAAAAATAATTTTGAAAATTAACTTGAACGTCCTGAACTCCCCTTGGGCAAAGTCTTTGGCTCTTACCATATTGCCTCTGGCATAAATTCTCCTTGTATTTGGAAAAGTTCCCTATTACTAAAAAGCAGTACACTAACAAGTCTAATTGCTAAAAATCTATTGTGATTTTCAAACTGGTAACATCTGTGAAAATCATCCCTAATATTATCTACTTAAGCTTTCTACTTCTCCTCATGAGTAAGTAAAATATGGATCTTTAAGATATTTTTATATACTTTTTTTTCTAGAAATTATCTCCCTTTTCCTCACCTGTCTCTGAAATAATCAAGAATCAAAAGACAAATATTTCAGGAGACATAAAAGTCTATGAGATTAATGAGGAAGAGGTTCTCTTATTCCTATTATAGAAATAGTCCTTTATTTTTTCTGCTTTTAAAAAATAGCCATGAAATTAATGGTAGTAAGGATTCATTTTTTTCCCTCTATTTAGGTGACACACATTTATAACCAAGTTTGTTTCTTCATCAATCTCCTGAATGCTTACAAAGTAAGCACCACCACATCAATATATTGAACAGTCTTGTTGGAACACATTAGCATTTAATTAAAACAAGTATCAAAATTGTGGGGAAAAATTCTGATAAACATAATATCATAATTAAAATCTGATGAAAATTTTTATTGTACTTGCCTCAAATCTTTGAAAAGTTGTCAAACGAAAATCTCCTTAAATTCCCGAAAGCAGTAATAATAGAGAAGATAATTTCTGAATGAAAACATCCAATACATTTCTACATGTGCCTGAAGTTTTTGAGACTAACTTAATAGTTTCCCTACCACAAAGCCACTATTCATACTTAGAATTCCACACCCAACTTACATTTTTAAAACTTTTCTTGCTTTTCCAAAAGAGCTACAAAGGCATTACTGGTTGCCTGGCAATTAGAACTAGGAATCAACCACTAATTAGAAGACAATCATGAATAAGTTATCTACTTGGTACTGAAATGAATGAAATAATTGGCTGTGGAAAATTTTTAGGGACACTTGAAAGACATAAACTTAAAGAAAGCAAGTCTTAGGGAAATAGAATAGTTTAGGGAGAATTGTCCGCCATCTTGTCGTCACTGGTCATGTTATAACAGCTTTCTAAAGCAGCTTTAAAACCAGGCCAACCATTTTTCACTTATCCCCCTGAAGCCTCAGTGATTAGTCACAAAGGTTTCCTTTTGTAAGAATCAGTTTCAAGCTGCTCACTTACTGAGACAAATCCTGGATGCATCCAAGCTAAAAATCTTTCATACCAAGGGGAAGAATAGGGTGCTTGGCTGAAGGAAGGGGATTTTATTCAGTCTTCCTTAATTAGACAGGACCTCCATGGATGCTTTTGCTGTAAGATCATTTACTCTGTGTTTATCATTCTGATGCCAATCTATGCAATAATCTAAGCTATTATTCTGAGGTTCTAAGTCTGATTAAGAAATGATACAAGTGTTTTGCCTTACTTGGTGAAGCAAAAACTTCATAAATTATGTAGTGCTACAATTATCTTTTAATCTATTAGCTTCATCCACAAACATCTACTTAGTATTTTTAGTACTCACCTGTAGTCTGCTGTTGGGGAATCTGAGTCTGGTGTGGCAAGTTCCTAGAAATGATTAACATTATTGAGTAAAACAGTGCTTGCACACATGTAAATAGAGAGCAGACATATTAGGACAAAAATCTGCAGGAGATAAATTCCCATATCCTGTAATCCAACATAACTCCTCTCCCACTTCAAGAGTTTCCGGATGAGGAAACAGGCCTAAGATGGATAAATGATAGCAATTTTGATAATATTCATGGAATTTTTACTACATGCTCTAATTTATCTACTAACAACCCTAAGAGGTAGGTATTGTTATTTTTTCCATTTTACAAATGAAGAAATAGGCTTAGAGGTTCAAGGCCACGTGGCTAGAAAGCAGTGGATAAAGATGTGAACACAGTGATTGCAGAAATTGTGTTCTTAACTTTCATTCTTTCAGATCTAGATCTAGAACACACACACACACACACACACACACACATTCATACACCATCCCTGGTCATGTCACAACAGCTTTTTAAAGCATATTACCACCTTCAATCACTTTTCCCAAACCTGTGCTTTTTTATCCTCATGCCAGGGAATGGCTACACACCCAAACATGTTATTCGAAATGCAGAAAGTCATCCTCAACCCTCCCCTCTCGTTCAGTTTCTACATTCAATCACTTGGGATCTTAATACCTTTCTCCTGATCTCAGCTGAATCTCTCCCCTGCTTCCCTATGGCCACTACCAAATTGGTTGAAATCATTACCATTGCTCATGTAAATTCCCACAATCTGTCTGACTTATTTCATTGTTCACATTCCTGCTCCCTATAATCCACTCTGTGTATTGCTGTCAGAATGATCTTCTAAAACACAAATCTGATTTTGTCATTCAAATAACACACATCTCATATTCCTTATATCTACCTGCAAATTGAGTTTCAGGTTTCTTAGTGTAGCCATCAATATTCTGGTCTCTATGAAAATACTTCATCGGCTTGAAACAGAACAACTAACCACCACAGCCACTACCATGTCCTACATCCAACCAGCACCGATTTGTCTTTGCAAAGTCAACTCAAAATTGGTTACAGCAGACATGTATTACTCTTATGAGTGAAAAATTTCCATAAGGAATGTTATCTAAATATTTATCATATTTTTCTCAATTAAAAAATAACATGCCTCCTCTTCTCTAAGCACCCCACCCCTAATTAGGTTACCATTTAGTAAGCATTCATACACAGGTTTTCATTGTATTTCTCTGCATATAATATTTCATTGCCCAAAAGTGCCTAATAAGTAAGGATCATTCTATGTAATATCTCCAATAGGAATACACAATGTTTTAGTGAAGATGCTTACAAAGACTCATACAATACATGTATTTGTGAGCATGCATATATATCCATTTGATGTTTCAAATTCGGTTATTTCTACTAATTTAGGAAAATGTACAATTTGAGTTCGATGTGGAAGAAACTCCAGGAGCCTGCTCTTGCTACAGAGTAAGGTTTGATCCAAGCCAGAGAATTTCAGGTTTTTGTTTCTCTTCAGCAGTGGAGTTCCTTTTAATTAAAATCCTAAGCAGAACTCTGATGTACAAAGGAGATAAATGTGAGGTTTCTCTGGGTTGAAACAAGGGAGTCAGAATTCCTGCCTGCTTTGTTTCCTTTGCCCTATATGTTGGCCCCTAAAGCCTGTCTAAGAAACCTCCAAGAAACAAAGTTTGCAAATCATTGATCTGAAGCATTTCAGCCAGGCAAATATTATGTTTCAAATATAATGATCTAAAGTGAAAAACAGTGCATGCCAATTAAATAGTGTTTAAACTCTTAATCTAAGTTAATGCCTTTGAGTGATTTTTTTTCAAATTAGGTTTCATTTTAAATATATTGTTTAAGGAAATAACAAAATCAATTCTAATTTAAAGAAATTATTTAATAATTTATTCTAATGATGACATTCTTTTTTGCTGTTGTGTATTAACCACACTTATGTTCATGTGGTCTATGGGAGTATTTCTTTTGCTTTGTTCTTCAATATACCACACAATGTATATAGGTTTGGGTCACAAAAGTAAAAAAGATGAAGTTAGAAGCCACAAAAAAGGAACTAAGTTCAGATTTAAAGACGGAAAAGCAACCACCTTTACTACCAAAGTCACAGTGCAATTACATGAGCATTGGGGGTTGGGGAGGAGATGTGTAATTGACTGGGCTTATTCTACATTCTAAACTGATAGAGTGCTCCCTCTGCACACCTACACACACCACACGCAAGCACATCTTCACTATCATCTTTAATTCTACCTTATCTATTAAAGAATTAAAGCAACACATTTTTGACAAAGAGGACCAGGAAAGCATAGAACACAGCTGTCGAACACAGCTGTGGTTGGTAAACAAAGACACAGGTTTCTTGAAAGCCTAGATTAAGCACACTCCAAATTCAAAATCAGTATTGAAATGACTGGTTGGATCCCCTCTTGTTGGCCCTCCCAAAGTCCTCTTCTGTGGAATTCTGCTTGGAAATCGCTCATCAGTCAATCCACACCCTGTCATTTCTTCTCTAGCCTCCACATTTTCCTCTTCCACAAAACTGCTAAACTTTCTAAATCACAATGGTCTTAGCTAGGTGACAATAAATGGTTGGTTAAGAAAGTGTCACACACAAACTAGCAAGAAATTCAGAAAAGATACCTGAGAAAGTGATTGTGTGTACTACTTTGGTTTGGGGATTTAAAAATATCTGCAATAAGTGTCACAGTTGGCTATGTTTGCATGATGCACATGCACTCTGAAATTTCAACTGAAACGATAGATGAATTATATAGCAAAAGTGCTTATGTGTGGAAAAAGGTGCTCAACCGAAAAAATGTTGAGGTTCAACTTCCCCCGTCTAAGGTGTGTACATCTAGCTATTTTTGTGGCTGCCCAAACTTGTGACTGCCTGTGAGTCTGAGTGTCAAGAGTGTTAATGTATCTATGATAGGCATATTCAAAGTGGTGTATTCCACTAAAGAACTGAAGGGAGGTACCTCCAAAGAGCACTGCTTCAGGCATACTGGAAAAATGCCTACGACTAACTCTACTGGAGTTAAGACGCAGAGAATGCAGGAAGAGAGTGGGAGTGTTTCCATCCTTGCTGAAAGCAGGCTGCTACAGTCAATTATACTGGAGAGTGGGGGTTGACTTCAAATAGAGGCCCTATAATCCTTCGAAGAAAAGACCTTTATACAGTCATAAAACTACTTAGAATAATTAAGTTATTAATGGACAAACTGAAAGGTTATAATGTGTAAACCGCAGCATTACGCAGAAAGTTAAGAAAACTAATTCTCGGAATTATTAGCATTAATTATTTTCTAATTTTATTGCCATAATTACATGCATTTAAACAGAAAATTGTGTAAATTAGTCATTGCAAAAAGTTCATTCTTTAAGAAAGCAAAGGTAATAACTTGCAAATTAAGAAATAAGTGATTTGGGGGGAGTACACAATTATTTGTTATTTGTACAATTGTTTCAAGGTAATTTGACATTCTTGGATACCCTGTAGAGTAATTCTATGAGTAAGGTGGATGATTATCAACCAATTACATTGCTACTTGCTCAAAGACTCAAAAGCAAAGTAATTTGCATAAAGCCATAGAATCTATGCCAGACTTGAAAGAAAACCACATTAGTTATGTAGAATAGAAAACATTTCTCTTTTGAAATCTTATGAAGACATTTAAAAATGAAAATAGTAATATATTTTAAGAATTTACCACTATTTAAGGAAAACTTATATTCCTCAAACCTTGATTTTGCCACACACACACACAAAAAAAAAAAATCTGTAAAAAAAGGTGATAAAAAGGTGACTTAGGTCTACAACTACTTTTGTAAAGGAATCAGGTTATTGCCTGGAAGATGGAAGGGAGGGAGGAAGATCACAAAGAAACTGTAAACATAATCCTTAATTTCCTTGATTTTAGTTAAAATTAATGTAGTATTCTATATGACATATAAAGGAGAAAGAAATATAAAGTTAAAAGAAAAAAATATAAAGTTAAAAGAAACATTCATCTGTTTGTTTTAACTTTCCTCCTGCTTGTACAAAGACAAGCATAAACCTATCACAGCTTTAAATTGAAGCAGTACAAACCTATAGACTCAAAATCCATCAAAGGACATTGCATCTATCCCTTTTAGGGTTTACTCACTGAATTAAAAAAAAATTAAAGTCAATGACTCTGAAACATCCCTGGTTGCTTGATAATTTTTGTCAACAGGAAATGATTATCTTGCTCCCCTGAAACAATCTCTTCAACTGATCTCAACTTTTAGTTAAACTTAATTTTTTATTTATGGAATTTTACCATGAATGAAATGTTGGTTCTCATTACCACCAAGGGGAAGACATAATGATACAATACTTCAGTAAAAACTAAAATGGTGAGTTACTATCTGTAATTATAAAGGCATAATTCTACCTTTATACTTGTTAATTTGCAAAAGATTAGGCACAGTCTACCTCCTGTTTTTGAGGGACACCCAATTATCCTGGATTAGGTATTTAATGAATAAGGAAGATTTTTGTACAGTCAATTAAAATTTTCCTGGAAAATGTGGGGCACTTTCCCATAATATTCCCATAATATTCACTCACTACATAAGTGTGCTCTATGAAGATACCTCTCACTCAGGAAAAATCTGTTGGTAATGAAGTGGTTAAAAGAAAATAATAACAAGGAGGCAGATTTTCCCCCTAAAAGGCAACATAATTCCTCACAAATTTAACAATATCTTATTTTTTAGAATACTGAATATTTGGGATTCTCCACTAATGTCTTTTTCCAAAAGCATAAAATTGCCAACTGACTATACTTCCAGAGTAGTTTTTAGGTTTTCAGGGGATAGCATTTTTTTTCTGTCCCATTCAGACACTGTTTTCTAATCAGGGCTAATCTCTCACTTGCTCAGGATGTTTAGTTCAAGCAATTTAAGGAGGTGTGGAAAAGTCTAGAGACTGATATGCTTAAATCTACAAACAGCCTAAACTTTCTTTTGCTTCTTGTTCAT